GCGAGCGGTGCGCGTGCTTAAATAGCAAACTAGCAAACGAAACGCGCGTCTGCGCCGTTCATTCCGTCACATTCCGCGCTACACAGTAAATTCCGTTTTTATGAATAGATTCCGGGATTCCGTCCCCATTTTCTACATCGACCTACTTTTGCTAAGAAGCACGTTCAACGCCGACGCACAGACGGTTGTCGTGGTAATGAACACCACAGCAACCACTTGTGCGTCCGCACTGAACGCGCATCTCGCATATAAAAAGCATTTTAGGGGGCCCTTGGCTTTTGGGGGCCCAAGGCGGTCGCCTACCTTTGCCTAATGGTTAAGTCCACCTCTGGGTGAGATATACCATAAGCATGAAGATGTGAGAGGAGGCAACGCCCCCACGTGATTGGCTAACCACTCTGCCAATTTAATAATACCTGACCATTATGTTTGCAACCATTCTGCAGATCATCCCAAGATGAAGGTACACTGCAAAAAAAAAAAAAAAAACCTCTAGTGGGAACTGAGAGGATGTCAACTATGAAAGACTCACAGACTTACCTGTGCACTGTAGCAAGGTTCTCTAGTTGATCAGGGTTTAGACTGCTGTCCGGATCTCTGCGGACCGGTTCCCTGATGTTCTCCAAGAGTTTGCGTCCTTGGCTTAGAGCTCCTGCCATCTCTTCCTAAAGAGAAAACAGTGAAACAATAGTTTTAAAATAGTTAGCTTAAATAGTTGTTAGCTAAAAAGTGAATGTGTGAGGTGGCACATATTGAATGCTTTAAGAACAGCTTTTTATAAATACTTTGAAACGGTCTTTTCTGCTGGTTTGTGCATTGAGCAGATTGCTGGCTGTTAGGAGGTTGTTAGGGAGCTCTGTTTCTGCCAGCTCCCTGCCGAACACTTGCAGTCTCTCAGCCATCCTCTTCACTAAAGCAGCAATGCTTTCAAGATCCTAACGGCACAAAGAAATGATCATTTCACATATGATGTATATTACTGGTTTAACTTGTTTCGTATATGCAGTGAGGTTTTGAATGTGCTAAAATGACTTTTAAAATAAGTTTAATAACAAAGACTTATCAGTAGCCTGATAAAAGATGTTTTACTCTATATGAAGCAGGTTGTCTCATGGTGGCCACTATGAAAAGCTGAAAATTATTTCACTTTATCCCCGATTATTGGCCACTTTGACTTACGAAATAAATGATTCACAGCTGACTGTGAATAATAATGTATAAGTCCAGGACAACTGCCATAATGCAACATAACCCAAAAAATTAGTGAGTGCACCTTTAAGGTGTATTTGTTCTTACTGTGCGATGAGAGATCCAGGTCTTGTGACAGTAGTATTGAGAGCCACCCAGTTCTTGTGTCAGTTGACTCCGCTCAATATAAGAGTGCAGATCAGCCAGTGAGCTTAGCATGATAACCTTTAATACACACACAGGCCTCATTATTTACAATGACATGACACTCACTAACATAACACAACACATTCAGATTACTTACCGGTACTTTAAAGTCATCTTTGTGGAGTCTGAAGAACACATCAGACAAAGTTCGCTGCAGGATAGCACTGGGTCTCAGCACCAGAACAAGCAGAAGATTACCAGGAAACCAGCCCTACACACAAATATAAAAAAGCACTCAAATTCATATTAAATATATTAAAAGACATATTTTAATTTATTTTAGACAAAAGCTATCGAGATGTGTGTAAAATATCTGCAAAAAAAAAATATATATATTGAAGGAATAGTTTACCCATAAAAGAAGGTTTGCTGAAAATTTACAATCTGTTTTAGATGCTTGTAAATAGTGCTTGATCTGTGCACAATTTTCTCTTATTTAACTTGGAAACAAAACAAACAAACACGCAGCTTTTCGCTTCACTAGATGTTAATTGATGGACTGGTGGCTTGCTAATTACTTGTGGATTACTATGATATATTTATCAGCTGTTTGGACTCTCATTCTGAAGGCACCCATTCACTGCAGAGGATCTATTGGTGAGCAATTGATGTAATGCTAATCTGTTTGTATGATGGCTGAAGACATTTTCAGCACATTCTTATTTTAACCATGCCTTCAAAAAGGTAAACTATGCCTTCAAAAACAGTATTTGTGTGCATTCATACTGGAGTCAAGACTCACTGAGATACGCAGTAATGTCCCTTTTAAACATGTCCATCGATCTCTACGCCTGTCAATCACTACGATGAAGCCCACACCCGCTGCACTCAGACTGGTGAAGAAACACACGTTACTGCTGTCAGCATGTATGATATTCAAACATGTGTGCTACTGTGTGTATTTACCTGGGAATACTTGTCAGGTAGGTAAGAACATTACGAAACTCTTGGTCTCCAATTTCACAAAACGAAGGGAACTCTGGAAAGATAATGATAGGGCTTCCATCCTGTCCTCTTCCCCCTAAAACAGACAGAAATATGAAGAATCAAAGAGGAAAAACCTGCTCCTCTGATGTGTTCAACAGGCAAACAGTAGGGGGCAATAAATACCAGAAACCATGCTGTCTTCTGTGTTGGCATGCATCAGAGATCTTAAATTAGCACACAGGCTAGCCAATGAAAACCTGCTCACGCCACCTGTATGCTGTGTCAGTCTTTATATTGTGTGCAACTGCTACTGTTTGAGAGCGCTGTGACAGCTACATACACTACTGATGAAATGTTTTGGGTCTGTAAGATTTTTGAATGTTTTTGAAAGATGTTTCAAATGATCACCAAGGTTGCATTTATTTGGTCATAAATACAGTCAATAGTAATATTTTAAAAAGAGACTAAGTCTCTATGATATCCTGGTTTCTAGGTTTGGATCCTTCCCATGTAAGTGGGTTTGTTTTGACTATTTTACAGCTTAGAAAAGTGGTTAAAAAATAATTGTTCTAATATAGCTAGTGCTCCTCTCCTCAAAAAGTCACACTAATAAATATAACCATAAACTCTGCAGCCAAAATGAAGGCACCGCAGAGAGTACGACATATTAGTGTTGTCAGTATTCCCTCAGGACAGAAACTATGATTATACCAATGTACAAAGCGAGATCCAAAAATGTCACTCCAATCTTCCTATCTGTTCGCTCCTTTAAATCTGGATGAAGATACAAGGTGATGTTTCAGTGTTAAGGCGGTGATGATGGAATGGAGAGAAAAAGAGAGAAAGCCACTGGGTGAAGATCCCCATGTGACAAAAATATAAATTCTTCTCCCTGTCTCCATGACAACAGGACAGAAATTGTGCAAGCATCGTTTACTCCGTTCAGTTTAACAGTAACAACCTGCCATCAAAAACAACACATATTCAGATGAATAACTTAAAGGGTTAGTTCACCCAGAAATGAAAATTCTGTCATTAATTACTCACCCACATGTCGTTTTAAAACCCGTAAGACCTTCGTTCCTCTTCGGAACACAAATGAAGATATTTTTGATGGAATCTGAGAGCTGTCTGACCCTGCATAGACAGCAACACAACTGAAATGTTCCCAAGTCCAGAAAGTAGCAAGGAGATCTATAAAATAACCCATGTGACATCAGTGGTTCATCCGCAATTATACGAAGCTACGAGAATACTTTTTGTGCGCAAAAGAAAAACAAAATCAAATTGTTGAATAAAGTTTTTTTTTTTTCTTTTGCGCACAAAACTACTGATGTCACATGGATTATTTTACAGATCTCCTTGCTACGTTTCTGGACTTGGGAACATTTCAGTTGCGTTGCTGTCTATGCAGGGTCAGACAGCTCTCAGATTCCTTAAAAAATATCTTAATTTGTGTTCCGAAGCTGAACGAAGGTCTTACGGGTTTGAAACGACATGAGGATGAGTAATTAATGACAGCATTTTCATTTATGGGTGAACTAACCCTTTGAAGCTGCAGTGTATGTAGATGGCCACATGTCACAACAAAGTTTCTTAAACCCAGGACATGTTTTTCCTTTCCCTTGCTTTTTACATTTTTCATACATGTACAGAGGAATTATCCAACTATCTATTTCAGAAGCAGGAAATTATGGAAGGTGATGTTTGACTAACAAATCACACACATAAGTACACTCGTTCATGTTCATGCACACTAGCGTTTATAACCTGTTACATGTTACAGAAATGCACCTTATTGAAGAACTCTTTTATATTGCAATATATTTTACGTTACAAATTTTTGATTACCCTCATTGAGATTAAGGGAAGTGTTTTAGTGTAATATACTAGAAATTTGCTGTATGAGTAAAATTCCTCTTGGCATCGCTCCTATTATATTATAGTCTCTGAAGAATTTAATATTGTGAGCACAGTTTGAGACCTTGTTGAGATCTGATCCAAATCTTTAAAGAGGACATGAATGAGTATGATTACTGGGGTCTTTTTTAGGAAATATATCCAAGAATTAAGAAGTGTAAGCAAACGTCTCCATCTGCTTTCAAAATTGAGATTTATGAATTATGTTCTTACTTGAGTCCTCTTTAAAAAAATCTAACTCATATCCCTTCAAGTGGACCAAGTGTGAAAACTTCCTCTGAAACAATAATGGATAATATAATATTTCAGTTTTAGGGATAAAAAAGAAATGCATGTGTAATGTAAAGAATATTTACCAGACAAGAATGCAAACTGTCTCTTGAGCTCAGTGATGATGTCAGCAGCGTAGAGAGGGCTAGACTCCTTCTGCGTGATCTCATCTGAAACAAACGCACACGAGGCACACTAACATCACGTCTACAGTCATAATATAACATTATACATTATAGAATGACATAACATGAGTGTTCAAGTTTTCAGTGTAACCTGTTTAATACAATCACCCCCGCAGTATCACCAATTAACTCGTAAGCTTAACACTCTTTTGCAGTTCCTTTCTTGCACAACAGCAAATAAGAAAACGGAAAGAAAAAAAACCAGCACTTATATTGTTACTTGACCATAAGATGAAATAAACCACAGCTGAAGAAGCTAAGCACAGGTAAGAAGACCCTACACACACTAATATATTATTGGCTGTCTTGACTGCATTGTGTCTTTGGCTGGTGTATGTTACCATCTGAGGGAGGTAAACCTTGCCCAAAGCCATTCCCATGCTCTGGTCAATAGCAACACGCATGTTTAGAAAGAAAAGAGTAGGTGATTCCCTATCTATCTCAACCAAAACCACCTCTGGATACAGAGCCATAAAGTGCATTCAACTAATAATCTTAATGCATACCCACCCCTTCTATTATATATTATATTATATTATAGCCTCCAGAGCTTTTTTTAACTGCAAGATTAAGAATTGTATTTTTTTAACGCACACACCAATTAGATATTATAAGTGGCACTTCAAAGTGAATGACAAAAGAGGTCTGAAAAGAGGGAGAATATATCTATTTCCTTCTTTTGTTCTTCTAAAATAAAAGTGTGTTGTTCCACTGGAGTCAGATTCACACCCTTAGGATGTTCACACACATTGAACAGAACGTCATCTGTCACATTTCAACGGACTTTTATGGTAGCGCTCACCTGTTCTGTGATGCATTGCTCCCCCACCGCCTAATGCTGCCCACCTTTCATACACACTGACATTTTATTTATTAGTTTTTTTTTTGCTGTTAAAATTAAGTAATGCATCTACTGTCTCTCTTGCCTGCTCTCAATTCTAATAAATTATATTTAGATAAGTATAATAAAGTAAAATAACAACAGTGCAAATGGAGTAAGTACCATTAAAAAATTAATTATTTAAAATAATTGTACATTTTTTAAATTCAATAATAAATAAAAGTTAATATTATTATCAAATAGTATTAAATAATTAATAAAAAATATATATAAAAAATAAAATAATGAAACATAAAAGTTCTCACTTACTTTGGAGCCAGTGGCAACGTCTGGAAAAGCGGTAATATTTCTCAGCCTCTGCTAGAGGAATGCAAACTGTTTTCCCTTTTTTCTGTAGATTCATCCCTCTGTTTTCTGCTATCTCTTCCACTTGTTGTTTAATATCTTACTAACTCCCTGGTCGTCTTGTAACCACAAGCAGCGACCTGAGAATGAGCTACCTGAGACAGGTGCACCAGTTAATGACTTCCTCTCTCTTCTCTCTCTCTCTCTCTCTCTCCTCATTTCCAACCTTCACACTGACTTCCTGGAATGGATTGGTCTCCTGACGCACATACACAGGTTCCCTTCACCTGTTACATGTCTATAACTGATAACAGTCTGATCACTGACTGTAAATAACTGTACTTCCTTTGTTTCCACTCTCTATGTCTGTCTGTGTCAGCACAATCACCCCAAAAAGAGTCTGCCGCCCCCCCAGGAGCCCCTTCCCCCATCACACTGGTGGATGAATGAAACCCTGTGTGTGTGTTTGGTTGGTTTCTCTCTGGTACAAGAGGAATCTGAGTGCGATCTGATCTAGCTGAGGAGAGAAAGATAAGAGCTGAATTCAGATCAAGTCACTCAGAAGCCATTCAAACCAATAGATAACATTTAAAAGAAGAAAAAGTATTTTTAGTCTGGTAAATCTCTCTAGTTCCCTCCATCTCTTTCAGACACATGGAAATGTATACGCACTTTTCCTTTGGAGTCTCTGTGGGCAAAAATAGTCAAACTAAACTTCAGACGAAAAATAAAACATCAAGCACATATAATCCATGTCACAATAAATGGCTCTAAAGAGAGAGAAATATCTTAATGAAAACAAGTCACAATAACTATTAGAGCTAACCTATAAATGTAACGTTTTAGTACACAATATTACAATTATTCTTGCACATAACGTATATAAGGATCCAAAAGTCTCAGGCCATTTTGAAAATCTGGGATTCAAAATGTTAAAGTGTCAGTACAATGAAAAATGTAAAATAAAAAATGATAAAATGAATAAGAAAATATTTTTCCTGATTTGGGACTTTCTATAAGCCACTATGCAAATAAGCAAATTTTGTGACATTAATCATGTGACATTAATTTGTGACATTAATCATTAATCATCTTCTTTCTACAGATTGTCAGATGAAGCTTAAGATGCTCTTTGGGTCGTTCTCAAATCATACTGGAGAACACGATCATAAGGTTTTACACAAACTTGTGGATTTTTTTTTTTTGCCAAATTATATAATTTGTAATAAAAACAACAACAAAAACAACCACAGCAACAACATTACAATTAGAAAAGTACAAAATAGAAGATTTTTCTTTACTTTTTTCAACTCCACTGCACATACTTTTCAAAAGTCTGGGGTCAGTCAGATTTGATTATTTATTTAGCAAGGACACATTAAATTGAGACATTTATGAAGTTACAAAAGATTTCAAATCAATCCTTTTGTTTTGATCTTTATATTCATCAAAGAATCCTGAAAAAAAAACAAGGTTTCCACAAAAATATTAAGCAGCACAACAGTTTTTAACATTGATAATAATAAGGAATGTTTCTTGAGCACCAAATCAGCATATTAGAATGATTTCTGAAGGATCATGTGACACTGAAGACTGGAGTAATGATGCTGAAAATTCAGCTTTGCTATTAAAGGAATAAATTACATTTTAAAATATATTAAAATAGAAAACAGTTATTTTAAACGGTAACAATATTTCATAATATTACCGTTTTTACTGTACTTTTGATCAAATAAATGCAGCTTTGGAGAGCATAAGAGACTTTATTCAAAAATATTTTAAAAAATATTGTACAGTACAATTATTGTGAACATAAAGTGCTAAATTTTTGACAGTGTTAGCATGCTTTCACTCACTCTGTTCTTGTACCAGCGGGACCAGAGGAAGCAGTCCACGTTCATTGTCTTGTTTTGGACGCCTTTTTCTGGATTTCCTCAGCATAACTTTCCCCTTTATTGTCGTCCGATACCGGACCTCACACTGTTCCTTTAGTTACGCTTTACGATACTACATGGTACTAAACTCAAATAATTTACTGCCATTGTTACAGCATTAACCACTAAATTCCAATTCAGAACAGCTAGTAGTTAAACAACATACGTGCTTACCTAAAGCCAGTGTACTAACTACTGCAGCAAGCTGTGCTGCTGCTGCTGTGGAAAACTGTGTTTTATGGTATCTGTTTTTGTACTCAGCAGTAACTCTGCCAAACACACACACATTTTAGTCAAGTCACCCCCAGCATGAATCTCACAGGAGAGTCTTTGGAAATTTTCTTTCAGCCTTCAGGCTTTTGAGAATGAGGGCAAGTACAAAAGTACATTTAGGCACAGACTTACAGTACAGTCAGGGCAGTTTTGTACGTCACTGAGAAATATCTTTCACATGTTCTTTTACAGTAATATTCCACTGTTAAACGATGAGAAATTAGTTTAGGAATGCCTGCTGTATCATATTTGAAACATTTTTGAGGCCTCTTGGTTATCAATCAAAACTGCTGGAAAATCTGTTGCACACAATCTGCTACATGCCTTCTGTCGTCTGATTGACAGTTCATACTTTGGTTCATAGTTAGCAAGAAATTATCTTTTAGTATTATTGTAAAAACATCTACATTCAGATTGTGGTACACATGTATTTTTGTGGTAAAATCATTAATTATTTTTTAGAAAGTAAAAGAATGTTTATATTGCTATTAATATTTTTATGAGAACATTTCTCATTATGTTAAGAGAACATTTACTGGACTAAAGCAACTCGTCTTTATTTTATTATTAATCATACATCTTTTTTTTTTTTTTTTAGAAAAATCTTGTTAATTTTTGTATCAAATATACAGTAATTGGCTTTTTTGTACATCGCTCATCATTGTATTGCATTATGTGCATTATGCATATATTTAATATTCATATGCATATGCATTCAAAGTTATGCTGTTATAAAAAATCTCACATTACAAACTAATATAAAAAGAAAAAAAACCATGATTTCATATGTCAGGTTTTTACAGTGATAATATTTAAATAAAACAGTACCACACAATCAAAATGCTATTGCTCTAAATATCAGCTTGGCTATAATTTGGCCGACACTTTGCCCATAAAGTGACCAAAATTTGTGGCCACATATAAGATTATGCTGTACTCATTCAAAAGGTGAATAATCCTCACCACTGAAAAGCATTATTGAAGCTATCAACATTGAAATGCATGTCAACAGCACCTCTTTAATAACTGCGTGCTGAGTGACAATCATAGATACTCGTTTACGGTCCTTACCAATGCTGTGAGCGACATTGCTCAATCTGCGCTGTAGCTCTTGCATCACCGCCTTCTCTGTCTGCATCCAGATCATCGACATCCTTCACTAGAGTGGACGTTATGGGAGGAATATCACCCTCTGCCCTTCAGTGATGGGCAATTCAGCATCAGCATCACAGAGAGAGACGGGGGAGGGGCTCTCCGATGACACCTACAGAGTCACACAGTATATAACCAGAGGCCCTCACACGCATGTGCGCACAGAATGGCATGACATGCTGCTCCAGTTAGGACTTTGGCGCCATCACCAGGACTGTTTCTGCTATTACAGCAACACCACGTTGAATGTACCTGGAGGCAAGTTGGCGAGATTGAAAAAAAGGACGTTGACTGTGATTGATTTTCTTGCTAAACAGAACAAAACGTTCAACAGAACATCTAGGAGTCAACGATGAAAACATTTTAGTATTACAACAGATAAATAGAGATGAAGATTACTCAGACAAACTGAGGCTAATGTTTGAAACTGATTTGCATTGGTCAGTAGTCTATACAATCTGCTGTAGGTTCTATAAGTGAACATTCATCATGAATGTAATCACAATTACACACTTTTTATATTTTCTGAGAGAAATGCTTGTGGTTCTCACCTATGCAGCTGATTCCTGGTTGGTTGCCACTGTGTTGCTGGTACAGTATTTGAAAAATAATGTGTTTTTTGAACATTAAAGCATGTCAACATATTCTGTTACACCAAATACACAAAATAATGATCTTTAAAAAAGCATCATATGACCCCTTTAAATGTCTTGTGAGGAGTTTTATGCTCGTTGCTATATTGTTGAGACTTGAATGCATCCTTCGACTCTATGGATGTATTGATTACACAATTAAGTTTAATACTTTGAGTTTTGTTTCGCTGGTATATAATTGAGTAATTTAATGTTTCCATATTGAAATGAAGACATAGCTCATAAATATTCATCTTCTTCCGTTTGTCTCATTGCGTTGTTATTTTTCAAAGCTCATTAATAGTAATATTAAAGCCTTCACCACATTTGTGGGATCCGAAAATTAGTCCCTGGCAAACACGACGGAGGGGAGGAGCATAGCATAGGACAGGGTTTCTGACTTCAACTCCCATCATGCACCGGTGCTTGCGGTTTCATTCGTCAGTCTCGCGGGCTACGCTTTGTTATGGCGGTATCGTTCGAAACTTACCAAAGGTCAGACCTCAACTGCTGAAATATTTAAATACCCGAGTCGGCAACCCAAACCAAGGTATGGCATATTCACCCTCATCTAAAAACCTCCGATTAAAAAAAAAAGATATTGCATCGAAATCTGGCTTTATATTGGAAAACGATGACAATCTTGCTGTTTGCTAAAATACTGTTAAATAATTCACGGTGTCAAAACTGTGCTGCCTAACTTACCCAGACAGGATTTTGTTCGTCACTGACGTTATACTAGACTTATAGACACAGCTAGTGTGTCATTTCAGTTTATTTATATTCAGTGGTTTCCATTAACGTCAAATGCAGCTGCTTCAGAAGTAACTACTAACAGACACACATGGTTTACTTGAGTGTGTTGTTTACCTAAAATAGAGCGCTTTTTTATTACGTAATGGGATAAACGTAAGATGCTAGGAATTTTTATTTTAATGCAGTTATAGCCCATCTCTTGTACAGTTAAATGACCTCTAACTTAATCAACTCGATGCTCTTGGGACAAGACTGTAGGAGCAGTTTATTTATAAATACATCAAAATTCACTTTACAGTGTACCTAATGATAGCCTATTTGTTGTAGTCAATGTTGAAAGTGAAAATTTGATGGGGTAAGATGCGTCACCCATTTAATCTCGCAAACTACACATTATTATGGGCCTCTATTGTGCTCACATAGAGAGATGCACAAGAGGAAAGTGAGACGCAAAGTAAATTTCCTAAACGCTGGGGTAAAATGTATCTTAAATATTCTAAAACTATATGGCTCATCTAATGATAATGAACTTTGCATTTAAATGCAGGAAATAATATTACTGTAAAAGGTGGCACAGTTTACCTCACTCCCCTCTACATAAAGCAATACAATTCTCTAATCTCTTATCTCTCACCTCTCTGTCTGAATAACTCAATGGAGTTAACATGACCAACAGTTTTAACTGTATTTGTGAACCCTCCTTTTCAGGGTTTGAGCTAGGTCAGTGTCATCATGATGTCGTCTCCAGCTGGACTCCAGCAAGGGCAATTTCACTTCCTTTCCCAGTGGATGCCGGATAGCTCCCGTGCTGGGGTGATATTACACGGGTCCCCGGGAGAAGCCGGTTCAGGGTCCGTCCGGAGCAGCGGCAGTCTGGTGGTTCAGGATCCAGATGACTCTTTCAGCTGTCAGTTTGCCCCGCTGCCCCTCTCCCGGAGCAGCAGCTGTGCCAGCGTGGATGTGTGCAGTCCGGGTGGAGGTGGCAAGACACTCGGGGAAACTGAGCTGTTTGATGCATCTTTAAACCGTGAGATGCAGAGTATCCAAGATGTTTTAAGAAACACACGGGATCTGCCATTAATAGCTAAGCTTGAACAGGTGGGTTGGGGACCTCTGTTAATATTACTTTTGCAATGATCTTGCTTTATTAAATTTCTCTGCTTGTTATTTTCTTCTTGGATATTTTAATCAGGGTTAATTTCATCTCAAATGTCAGATATAAGGATGTTTTATTAGAAAAGTATTATGGTATTGTACTCTTTATCACAATTATGTACATTTTGATTTCTTATTAAGAATGTGTTTCTTTATTGTTGCATTTTAAGCAACAGTGAGTTATTCAGATGTTTAGTTTTGATAGTAATCTAACGGTATATTTATTTGTCCAGCTGAAGCAAATGCAACATCGCATGCAAGAGCAGCTAAAAGCCCAACAGCAGGAACAGCTGCTTAGACTACAACATGAACCACAAAGACTTCTGGGAAAACCACAGAATACTGCAGGTATGTGATTTATGGTACATGTGTCATTCATCTGTACACAAAGAGCTCTTATTTAGTACATGGTGTTAAAGCATTTTATTACACTATAAATATACATAAGATTGGGAGGGCTAAACTTCACTTCATATGGTTGATAACCAGTAAGACAGGTTGAGATTTGACCGGCTCTCTTCATTTGCCGCTCTAGAGACCACTAGGTGGAACCAGGAACAAAGTGTGGTGGAGATGAACAGTGGACATGACGACAGTGATCGTAATTATGAAGAATCACTTCAGTCCACTATTGAAGAGCAAACTCTGTACAGAAAAGTGTGTGACTCAGAGCCACAAGACAGGTAAACTTCAAAACCGTAAGATTGAATACAATGCAATGGACAACTGCAGTGTGTCAGTCTGGTTAAAGTGTTAAGTGTGTGTCCATTTTAGACCTATCAAATTGGGGTTTGGTGGGAGAACATTTGAAGAAATACTGGAAGAGCAGCTCATGATGGAAGACCAGAAACTGATGGGCAAGGTTAGTTACAGAACACAAGGTTACTTACTGTACAAACCTTAGCATGAATTAATGTTGTTCATGTTGAGAATGATGTGTCTAGCTGAAGACTGAAGATAAAATGTCAATGATGTTTGGAATCAGTAATAAATACCATCAAAACTTGTCAAGTGTTGATTTTGAGGTACAAAACAACCAAGAGTTTTTGCTATATTTTTTAAGCACCTTTTGAGATATAGACATTTGACCAAACAAATTATGATAAGTGTAATATTAATTGCATTTTTGTAGCTTTTTTTTTTTTCTTGGATTGGCCTCATCTTTCTTCACGGCATCTTTCTTCTTTTTTCATATTCACTTATGTAGAACGCTCCGGCTGAAAGCGTGAAGGTGAAAAGACCCTTTCTTAAACGAGGAGAAGTTCTGGCCAGGTTTACCAGGGGAAAAGCCACTGTGCTACCACACAGAAAAAGTCCACCTAACCCCAAGCCCTCCTCATGTCCAAATCCAAAGGTTTCCCAAGACCTGGACACGAGGTCCAACAAGAACTCTGTCAAAAACAAAACCGAACGCTTAAAATCCACACATCCTGTGATCCAACGTAAGACTGCTGTGCTCAACAAAGAGAATATTCCTCAAAATAAAACCACAGCGCCAGTCGCCAAGATGACCGTTCAACCTCGTGTTCTTGTCGGACACCAGAGTGAGAATATGAGCCCCATCTCAGCTCAATTCCAACAAAAACCTGATCCCTCGTCCAAGCAGAAGATCAACAGTGTCACCACAGCAGACAGCAGTAAGGCAGGAGAATGCAGTGGTGTGGAGGATAATGCATGTGTTGCAGAAAACTCATTTGAGGTGTGGTTCACAGAGCGGAGACAGCGCTGGGAACAAGATCACCAGCGTGAGTGTGTCGAACTCGGAGAGTTTGAGTTGCTGGAACGAGCAGCGGATGAAATATCGTTCTCCAGCAACTCGTCCTTCATCAGCACTCTCCTTCAGAGAGACCGCAGGCGTCTCTCCTCCACACCCATCAAAGCGACCAGTCAATCTGCAGTACCCGCAGTAACTCCTGAACCCATGTTGGGTCCCAGTGCACCAGTTCCTCCTACAAACACTGCGATACAGAGAGACATCATTAGCATAGGACTGAAAGAACAGAGAGGGTTCTCCGAAGAGGAAACCCATGAAAAGTTGGATGACAACTCATTGAGTAGTAATTCAGGGTTGCAACCCTTTCCCAATCCACCCATAACCCACTGCTTTCAAGTGCCTACCACTCTGCCTTATGATAAACGCACATATCAAGACAGGGATGGTGCCAGCAGTCCAGAGGAGGATGAGAGGAGTTTGAGTACCAATGGAGACTCTACTCTCATAGAATCAAGGGCCCAGTTAGAGTTTGATGACGATGATACCTGGAATGACCCTGAGGAGGAGTCCTGTTGTCCTGCAGAGGAATCCCCATCAGAGAGGGCTCTGAAAAGGAAGGTTGCCTTCTCTAAGGGGGTAAAACCAGCAGGTGGCAGTCCACATGCAGTTGGAAATCGGAAAGAAGCCCCACCGACATGCCAGTTGGTATCAAAGCTGTTTCCAGCGCTCAAGCCTAAACCTTCTCCTCCGGTAACAGTGGTGCAGGAACCACAGAACATGCCCAGTGAAGAAGGAGCAGGTAACGCTAGTAGTTTTGATGTTTTTCATACAGATATCAAATGTGCTTATTTGATAAAAAAAACAATGTTTTTGCTAGGGATGCGCGATATATTGGTACGATATTGTTTACTGCAATTCATTTGTAGAATTTAAAACGATTGTTTTAGTGTTTTATTTTATCTAGTTAAAAGAGTATAGAATTTTAATATAAACCATTTATCAGTTATTGGTTGTAAATGTAAATATAATTTTCTGCTTATCAGTATCAGCAAGTGTGATTCTCTGCATTGAATCCTCTATTTTCCTGTTTATCTCTGTGAAGCTGCTTTGAGACTATCTGTATTGTATAAAGTGTCATAGAAATAAAGATGACTCAAGTATAGTGTATGAAAGCTTTCAGTACAAATTAAATAAAATGTTGATATACATTTTCATTTAGAAGCTTGTGGTCAGGAAAATTTTTAAATGTTCAAGTCTCTTTAAATGCTTACCAAGGCTGCTTGTTTATGTTCAAAAATACAATAAAACCACTAATATAACAACTTGAAATACCTGTTTTCTATTTTAATACATTAGGTAAGCTTTGCCATTAGTTTTCAGCAGCCATTCTCCAGTCTTCTGTCACATGATCTTCAGAAATCCTTCTAATATGATGATTTGGCTCTGAAGAAACATTTCTTATTATTAATGTTGTAAGAAAGTACGCAGTAAATCCTGAAACTTAATTATTTTCAGCTCAATCAAGACTTCTTCGTGAGCGTTTGGTGGAGCTGGAAACTGAGATTGAAAGGTTCAAATCTGAGAATGCGGCACTGGCCAAACTAAAGCAGGAAAACCAGGACACGAGAGAGAATCTCAAGTATAATCCCTTATTTTTCTTGTTCAAATACTCTGTATATTTTGATATATTTCACTACTGTTCACAGCTAAACTGCAAATGACTGTGCAATATGAATGAACAGTTATTTGTCATGCCGAAAACATTTGATCTGAAAAACATTTTTCCCATACAGAAAAGAAAAGGCTGAATTTGAAAAGAAGAGGATGGAGGAAATTGCAAAGTGGGAGGAGTTTAAAAGGGAGGAACACCAGAAACTGCAGCGTGAAAGGAAGCTTTTTGAAAAGCATGCAGCAACTGTGAGAGCAAGACCTGATAAACAAGAACGAGATGAGATCCAGGTCTGGATTTATTATCGTCTTTTGGAAAAGTATCATTTGGACACTATCAGTTCTGCTTATTAGAATTAGCTGTTTTATGTGTTTTAAATCTGACTGTTTATGTCTGTATCAGGCTCTAAAGCAGCAGTTAAATGTGCTGCAGGAGGATTTGCGCAAACGAGAGGCTCGTTGGAGCAACACACAGAGTCGTCTCCGACAGCAGGTAGACGCTCTGAGTGCAGAGAATGCATCCCTCAGAGACCAAGTGCGGACACTCGAGAAACTGCGCCTCAGTGCGTGGAAGAGTGCTGAGAAAGAGAAGGAAAAAGGAAGGTTCTCTGCGTCTAGCAATAAAACTAGTACTGGATCCAAACGTACAGATTCCAGGGTAAGAGTAGGAGTGGCGAGTCTGAAAGATTTTTGCACCCATCTGTTTATACATACACTGCCGTTCAAAAGTTTGGGATCAGTAAGATTTTTAATTTAAGCTTCTTGTGCTCATCAAGGCTGTATCTATTTGATAAAAAAAAAAATACAGAAAAACTGGAATTTTGTGAAATATTATTGCAATTTAAAATAGGTTTTCTATTTTAATATACTGTAATATAGAATTTATTCATGTGAAGCAAAGCTGAATTTTCAGAAATAATTCTAATATGCTGATTTATAATCAATGTTGGAAACAGTTGTGCTGCTTAATATTTGTTGGCACCAGTGATATTTTTTTCAGGATTCTTTGATAAATAAAAAGATAAAAAGAAGTGTTTATTCAAAATAGAAATTTTGTGTTACAATAAACACTGCTATTCAAAAGTTTGGGGTCAGTAATTTTTTTTCCCCCCTTTATAGAAATTTTGTGTTACAATAAACACTGCTATTCAAAAGTTTAATTTTTTTCAGGATTCTTTGATAAATAAAAAGATAAAAAGAAGTGTTTATTCAAAATAGAAATTTTGTGTTAAAATAAACACTGCTATTCAAAAGTTTGGGGTCAGTAATTTTTTTTCCCCCCTTTAAAAAAAAAAAAAATTGTTACTCTGCAAGGATGTGTTCAATGGATAAAAGTGATAGTAAAGACTTATATTATTAGAAAAGATTATATTCTGAATTAGTGCTGTTCTTTTTAACGTTTTATTCAAAGAATCAAAGAAAAAATTATTACAGGTTCCAAAAAAATATTAAGCAGCACAACGGTTTCAACACTGATAATAAATGAGCATATTAGAATCATTTCTGAAGGATCATGTGACACTGAAGACTGGATTAATGGCTGATAAATTCAATGCTACATCACAGAAATAAATTATATTTTAAAGTATATTAAAATAGGAAACCAATATTGGAAGTTGCAATATTTCACAATATTACTGTTTTTTTTTTTTTCTGTATTTTTGGTCAAATAGAAACCGCCTTAATGAGAATAAGAGACTCCATTAAAAATCTTACTGATCCCAAACTTTTAAATGGCAGTGTATATAAACACTTAAAAAGCTCAACTAACTATAAATTTGTTATTTAAATAACTTACAAACATGCCTATAAATGTGTGTAGTATTTCACACCGTCTTGGTATGTTTTTATGTTTAAGAGTCCCTCTCAGAGTTCAAAAAACAACAGCAGCAGCAGCAGAAAGGGAAGTCCAGAGACACAGATCCCTCTCACAAACTCTGGTATTTTCATACTTCAAGATTACTAATGCATACTTTTTGTGGTTCTAACCATAAAAATGTCTTTTATTTATAGATCTGTGTTCTTACATTGTGATTGCCACGTAGCATGACTCTCAGTTGATTCACTACAGCTTTTTTCCCCGAACAAATGAAAGAGAGTATCAGCTTCAAATATCAGCCAAGTCCAGTGGAAACCCAGTGTTTGGACGGACTAGTTACGACTGAGATGAACCATGATGCTCCACTAATTAACTCACTCTCTGCCATTGTACAATCACAGAAGGAACAGGAAGAGATCACACAGTCAGACAAGGTACTCTCTTTAGCTCCAGCTCGAAGTTTCAACAAATTCCAGATTGAGGGAATGCCATTTCAAACAAAACTGAGCCACCAGAAATTGGCTCAATTAAGAAATTGTAGAAATTATGGTTACGTTACAAAATGATCAATATATCCACTTTCAAATGGAATTCAGGGTCTAAATCAGATATTCATGTATGTTTCAGATTGAGAAGGTGCTTCCTGATGGAGGCCGACTTGTTGTTTTTCCAAATGGCACGAGGAAAGAGCTTTCTGCTGACGGACAGACAGTCAAAGTCATGTTTTTCAATGGGGATGTGAAACACACAATGCCTGATCAAAGAGTGGTGAGGAATAGACTCTGAAATTATGAATGTATTCTTATGATGACTTTTGCACCAGTGTAATGGATCAGTTATTTATATGTAAAAACACATTCCACTTTTATATGCTGGAATTAAATGTTTTAAGTTTTAAGGTTTTTAGTATAAAGAGATTTTGACTTTGAACTCACAGTTGAAAATAAGTGAATTTAAAATCAGGTAATCATTTTAATTAGTATCTTTTTTTTTTTTTTTAGATTTATTACTATGCAGAAGCTCAGACTACACACATTACCTATCCAGATGGGATGGAAGTGCTTCAGTTTCCTAACGATCAAACAGGTGGGCCTGAATTTGTTTTAAAATGAAATTGAGTCAAAATTAAGTCTTAATCTTCCACTCTGTCTTTTCTCAGAGAAACATTTCCCTGATGGCCGTAAGGAAATCACTTTCCCTGATCAGACGGTCAAGACACTTTATCCTGATGGAAGAGAGGAAAGTGTTCTCACAGATGGAACAATAATACAGCTGAATCCGTGAGTAAACTCACAGCCCTCAACCCCAATGTGTTATAATAAAGAGTCACGTTAAAGTCACACCATTTTTATTCTGCTTTCAGCGATGGCAGTAAGGTGATCCAGTTTAACACAGGTCAGCGAGAGATCCACACTGCAGATTTCAAAAGACGGGAGTATCCAGATGGTACGGTTAAAACAGTTTACTCAGATGGACGGCAAGAGACACAATACCCGACAGGACGGGTGCGGTTAAAAGACGCACAGGGTCATGTCATTATGGACACTAAGGCATGAAAGACCCAAAATAGTTTTATTTTAAATGAAAGGAAAACAAATGGACTTGAATGAAGTTGAGTGAAATATTGGTATTGTGTAAATGTGTCAAGTATTTAAATAAATCTTTGTATGTTGTGTTTAACCGAGTTATGTGTGAAAAGGTAATACTTTTAGAGATAAAATAGGCTTGATGCTATTAGATTAACTGTACGGTATGGTGGATTACCATCATTCATATAATTAAAGAGAATATGGACATACACTATATTGGCAAAAGTATTGGAACACCCCCTTCTAATGAACAGGTTCGACTATAGTAATTTCCATGAGTACAAATCTTAATGTTACAGCATATAATGATTTTTTTTTTATTTAACTTTTTATTTTTTAAAAATGTTAAAACAATGATATTCTGGGGAATTGTGTGCTTTCACACCAATGACTTGTACATACACTATATGGACAAATGTATTGGGACGCCCCCTTCTTTAGAACAGAAAAAGGCACTTCCAAAACTGGCAACAAAGATGTAAACACAATTCATGTATTTAAAAATTGTATTTCCATTTCTGTTGCAAGTTTTGGACGTGTCTAAAATGACTGTACCCATATGTACAAGTCATTGGTGATGAGTTTTTGGCTCAAGGTCTGCATTGAAAGTCACACCAGAGGTGTTCAGCTGGGATTAGGACTTGGCTTTCTGCAGACCAGTCAGGTTCTTCCACACTGACTGGATCAATCATTTCTTTTTGAACCTTGCCTTATACACAGAGGCACTGTCATGTTAGAATAGAAAAGGCTCCTGTCCAAACTGTTGCTATAAAATTAGAAGCACACAATTCCCCAGAATATCATTACATGCTTGAACGTTGAGATTTGTACTCATGGAAATTACTAAAGTAGTCAAACCTGTTCATTAGAAGGGGTGTCCAATACTTTTGGCAATATAGTGCATTTCATTCATAATGTTTAGGGTACTTAAAGGATGATGATTTAAGCTGATGAATTGTGAAAAGGTTCTGCAGGATACTTCTGGTAGTGGTCTGAAAATAAAAGTGCATCGATTGGTCAAAGTCTATGATTGATAACACCCAAAATTTCAAAAAGTCAATTATGATTTGGTACAAAAAAACTTGTGAGCAAGTCAGAGTCTACAAGAGTTTTACTTCAGCTCTGCTCAACATACAGAGACATTATATTAACAAAATATTTTTGCTACTTTGAAGCAGTTTTGAACTTGAACAATAAAAATACCTAACATAAAATTAGGCATAGCTGCACAAACAAAACTGGCTAAATGTTTTAACATAAAATGCCTGCACACAACTGTAGCATAAAACCCAAGTGCTTGAACATAAAATGAGACATACACTAACATAACCAACATAAAATGTTTTGCCGTCTCAGAAGCATCTATGAAATCTGATGATCTACAGCATCACTGACACAACCTACGGAAACAGAAAAATAACATGAAAGAAACAAATGTTTAGACAGTTTCCTTTAATTAAATTTACTTTCACACTTACCTTTACAAGATTTATGCATAATCAGCGAGGCCTTTCTCCACAAGAGGTCTGTGGACGAGTGTCCCTTCCGCATTGTATAACAGCACAGTCAGCTGTGGTTCAGTTGCCTGAAAATGCACATTTGGATAGTTTCACATACATTTTCATGCAACTGCTTTGAATAGAAAGAAAAGTGTTTTGCATTGTTACTAAGTGTCATATGACAATTTGTTCCCTTTACACCTGTGTTTGTCCTGGTTAGAATAATAAATGCACAGTTTCATTAAAAGTTCAATTCAACTTTATCTTTTTATTTTCACCTTCACTGAGTTGTCAGATCTACTCTATTTAAAAGCCATCAAGAGCGATCAGATCATGAGCAGATTGTCAAAAATGCATGTTAAGCCAGGTGTAAAGGCAGACACATTTCCCCAACTATGAATGAGACGTACAGTGACCACTGCAGTGAGCTCTCCGTTCAACAGGTCGATCATCTCCATCATGGCTCTCATACTCCACTCAGGCCGGTAAGGTATCCTCTCCGACTCCAAACACACATTTGTCGGTTTGAAGCCTGCTAACTTGACATAAACTGCTGCACATGGGAAATGATGAAGGGATGCAGGGAGTTGCCGCAATCTGCAGTGACACACGAGAAATTTTTTTGGATGTGTTATTTGATTTTAAAATGCTTTAAAAATGCTTTTATGATTTAAAGTAAATTTTCCAATTTGTTAAATTTACTGAAATTAAATTTCAAGAACAAAAAGCTGGATATATGAAAGAATTTTAAGTGTAAATTTTAAGACCTGGTCTTTATATGAAATTTTGCTGTCAGGCTCTAAAATACTTAATCGAAATTTCTATTTGTGAATTTAAAAAATTCATTTTAATAAATCCCTGTAATCACGAACACCTACAAAAGTTGGGAGTCAAAAAGGTTGAGAACTACTGTTCTAGTGAACCTAACTAAACCAAATATTTTTTACATTTCTACAAGAATGAAAATGACTCAAAGTATTAAAATATCAACAGCTGATTAATCTGTATAGTCTCACTTTTGTGTTGGTAAGATGTCATCCGAACCAAAATCCACATGTCTCACAAGGAGCTTCACATAAGGAGTGAGTTGAGAAAAACCCAGTAGCTTCGTACGATAATATTTACCATCGCTGTACTCAGCCAGACAGGGACACTCTGCACACAAACACAATTAAAAACATCCATCTATTTCCCAAGCCATTTAGCCTCTGTAGGGCCACAGGCAGAGTACGAAAAACATATGGTCTCAAGGTTTCTGGAATAAATTTGATAAAATAGGCATGCATACAAACAAAATACCACAGAAGTGTTTGCATACACTGAAATGAACCATGATCAAATGACAAATATAAGCACCAATGGGGAAGTCTGTCAGCAGGCTCAGATTTTCTATATTCTCATTCACACACTCGAGAGCTTCCTCCAAACTCTCTTCCTGCTCCTGTTCGCACAGAGTCTTATCCAACACACACAGGAACACCTGCAAGCACACAGATTCAATAAAAGCAAGAGATTGTAAAAGTGTGGACACATTTACCATTGTAACGGTTGCAAAAGAAATTCACAACGGCTTCAAGTTGGTCACACGGATTTACTGTGTTGATCAACAGAGAGCTGCTTGGTTTGAAAGTGACTCCTGTGTCAGCTCTGCTACATACATCTCTACACTTAGCAATTTACCATTCTTGCATGCAAAATTTCATCTAATACTGGTGCTGCATTTTGAAATTAGGACCAACTCTTTGAGACATGACAGATTCATGAGCAGCTTTTTTTTTTCTTTTTTTTTTACATTAAATGAATGTCTGATGAATGAGGCCATATATTCATGTAACAAAGACCCATCAGCTCTAGGGCTGGCTAATAATTCAATATCAAAATATATAAATTTTTTCAAAAATGATATGATTTTTAAACATTTCTGATATTTCAAAATGCATTACCAGTGTTTCCCATACATTGATTTATTTATGGCGGTTGACTTTGAATAAACATGAGCACTGCACATTTCAAAATTAAAACACGGCGTCGGTGTTTTATATGAATGTATCTTTGAAGAGAACCGACTGTCTTCTGAATAGTTTCAATGGCATTTTCATTTTATCTGATACAGGAGTGTTCATGAGCAGAGCTGCTTTGTTTGCAGCCGTTACCGGGGAAACCACCGTTTCTGCTGGTTAAGGCTAGAAGGTATACATACATATGGCATTACTGGGCATGCGCACATCAATACAGCATAATTTTTGTCACACTGTACAACAGTGTTGGGCAGTAACTAGTTACTAATAAGATTTCAGTAATATTACAGTTACCATCCATAAAACAGCTTAGTTACTTTTGATGTCTCAACCCCGCTGATTTAAAATCCAACAATCAAATAATTCCTAGATTTATTTTAATAATTTTCATGACTCGCACATACACTAGGGCTGGGTAAAAAAATATAGATATCTCGATATTAATCGATTCTCATTTTTACGGAACGATATCGATTCTTAAAGTCTAAGAATCGATTAGTGTAGCCTGTTTTCAGTTAATGGAAGGAACATTGAAGGGCACTTCCCATCCAATATATCGCAATAAGCATTGTGCTTTAGTACTTTTAATATGAAAAAGTAACAGATTTCAAATTCTGTCCATTGTATTGCAGTATTTAAACCATAAATGCCGTTTTGGCGCTGTTTAATGTGGAGTGACATATTGCTGTAGCGCCTCAGTTCAACAGACACAGCAGTGCGAGGCGCACGTGAACTGATCATCTCCTCCACATTAATACCAGTTTCAGCACAAAATAAACATGACTAAACATCTGAACAGTGGCGGCTCGTCGGGGGAGGCAGTGGAGGCACAGCTTCTCCATAATTTTGAGTTGAAAATGGGAGGAGGACGATTTAATGTTAATAAAATTCACAATTCATTTCAGTTCATG